AAGAAAGAAAGAAAGAAAGAAAGAAAGAAAGAAAGAAAGAAAGAAAGAAAGAAAGAAAGAAAGGACTACCAAAGAAAAAAAGTATAATAAAAAATGTTAGCTTTTGGAAATGAAGATAACACATAAAAATTTTGTTTTTATCATCCTTAGTAAGGTGTAGCTGTGTGTATCTGCAGGTGCCTATGTTCATATTCTTGCTGGTGCCCACTGAGACTGAGAGTTTTAAATGGATCCCCTGGAGCTGGAATTAGAAGTTGTGAGCTGCCATGTGAGTGCAGGGGAATTGAACCCAGGTCCTCTGGAAGAAGAGCAGGTGTTATTGAGCACTGTGCCATCTCTCCAGCCCTTGGATAAAATTCTTAGGGTCTTGCTACCCAAAGTATTCACAGAAATTCAATAAGATGGCCTTCCATTGGTTGTTTGACGCTGAAAAAAAAAAAAAAAAAAAGCATTTCTCTTCCTGAAATGGCTTGCTGGTTTCTTCGGCATACAGTGTTAATCATTTCTTATTTTGGACAGTGTTTTTCTTTGTGCACGTTAACGGTGAAAAGACCTAGGTGATATACAATCTGTTCAGTCAACACACCTATTACAAAGTTCTCATGGGTAACGCCATTGAAAGAATATTAGTAAACATTTGGCCCAGACCCCCGGTGTTGTGGTTTACTAAGAAAGCCAATTCTTGTATAACTATAACGTTCGACTTCCAAACGTTCCCGAGTTTAATTGTTCTGCTTTCCCAAGTCTGAAAAATAAGAAGCGCACAGCTCCTAACAGCAGGTGTTTCTAAGACCTTGAGAACTCAAATTCTAATATCCACTCAACAGATGCATCCGTTCCCCACTCCTCATCTGCCTCTGGAACTGTTTCCACAGAGAGAGCTACAGCACGATTGGCTGGTTTATTTAGTGTTTCCAAAAGAAATTGGCAGGGAAGAGGAGGAAAAGAGCTTTCAGAAGCATGAGGGTCCCTTAACACGCCATCCCTTCCTTTGCTGGTGTCTGGAAGATACAGGCAGTAGGGAGAACACAGGCGAGGAAACAATCGAAGGTGACAGATTCCTTACGACAGCCTATCTGCTCCACCCAGCCTCCTTATTTGACAGATATCTAATGGAAATGGTTATTCAATTACGGCCATCCCAGTGAATTTTCAGAATGCATAAATCACATGCCTTGGGGGAGGTGGGCCTTCCCATTTGGAATGCAGAGCATGAACTCTTCAACTGGAACCCCCACCTCACAGCCTATAAAGGCATGACCCCTTCAGGCAGGCCAGCACTGCAACCTCTCTGGGGTCACCTCCTTGCACAGGCTCTCTCCTCAGCAACGCCATGTCACTTTCAGTCCGCACCTCTGGGATGTGCAGGAGGTCATCCTCTCAGAACGGGGCGGCAGGCAGACCGTGGGGTGTATCTGCTTCTGGTTTTGCCAGCGGCTACGGGGGAACAAGCTCCGGCTCTGGAGTTGGCTGTGGGGGACTCTTTTCTGCTGCTTCCATGTTTGGGTCTAGTTCTGGCTTTAGTGGTGGCTCTGTAGGAGGCTTGCCAGGGCTTGGTGCTGCCTATGGGGGGCCTTTGGGGGGTGGCTTGGGAGGGCTGGGGATGGGGATAGGAGGTGGCTCCCTGTGCCTCCTCTCTGGCAATAATGGGGGGCTTCTTTCTGGTTCTGAAAAAGAAACCATGCAAAACCTGAATGATAGACTAGCTTCTTACCTGGGTAAGGTTCGTGCCCTAGAGGAGGCGAATGCGGAACTGGAAAATAAGATTCGAGAGTGGTACGAAACGCAAAGGCCTGGAGACGCTGGGTCCCAGAGTGACTATAGCAAATACTACCCACTAATTGAAGACCTCAAGAATAAGGTAAGGGGAGGGGCTTTAGGAACATTCTAAAGTTACAATATTTTATAATAATAAATCCTCTTAACTTAGGTACTTTCAGACTAGGTCATACTTAGAGAATTTTTCTCCCCTCAAGAAGCACAGAAATGCAGCTCCACTCCATCTTAAGACGGCTGTCCTTCCATGGTCTTCCTAAAGGAAATGTACATTTCTTAACTTTTCAACATTATTTTTTTACCAATGTATTTGCTTTTAAAAAGCCGTCTTAATACACACACACACACACACACACACACACACACACACACACGGCCTGGGGATCTTTGCTTTGCTCTTTGTTCTGTTTCATCGTGATGCTGGGGACCAAACGCAGGGCTTCAGCCCTGTGACCAAGTAAGGGTTCTCTCACTGAGCTACATCCACAGCTTTTGCCTTAGGAAAACACAGCTGGAGACCGTTATACTGAGTGAGGTAAACTAAGCCCAGAGAGGCACCTGCTCTCTTTCAGATGTGGATTCTAGTTTGGAGTGTTTAGGTCTCTGTGTTTGAGTTAAATGAGTGCCCTTAGAGACCAGAAAGCAAGAAAGGAGTCACGGTGGGGAGGAGGTGCCTGGGGAAAGGGGCTGTAGTAAAATATGTGATATGAAAGTAGAAGGGGGGAGAATACTGGCATGGAAAGCTTTAAACAAGGACGGGGTGGGATGGAGGGAGAGGTGGGGGTGGGACGGGAAGAGCACCCAAAGCTAAGGATGTATGCAAAGGCCGTATAGAAACTTGCTATTTGAAAAGCTGAAAGGAAAATTATTTTAAAAAAAACAGTTTGGATGGAGGAAAAGAGTATTCAGCATCAACATTTACTCTTCCTGTCCAAAATGGCACTTAGGAAATAATAGTTACTTTAGGACCCATTTTCATGTATCTCCCTCTGTTCTCCCAGATCATTTCTGCCAGCGTTGGAAATGCCCAGATCGTCTTGCAGATTGACAACGCAAGGCTGGCTGCCGAGGACTTCAGGATGAAGTGAGTCCTCTGATGGTAACTCACCCCTCCTCCAGCTCCCCACTTTCTGCCTCCATGGAAGGCAAATGACTCCAATGTCCTGAAGTCCCCAAACTCCGCACCTGCAGTGCTCGCCCAAATCCACACGGGGCACTTCAAAAGCACTGCAGGTCAAACCTCTCACCTTATAGTTTAAGTTATAAGTTGCTTCCACCTGGAGCTGCAGATCATCTCTTTGCATGAGTCGTAAGCCAACACCATAATTGCACCTACGCTTAAACCTGAATTTTCAACGTGTCAAAATGGATTAATAATATTTTCGCCAAGGGGCTAAATGGAACAATTGTTTCCCTGATAACACATGCACTTGAAAGCTTAACTCTGCGCTTATTTTTATATTCCAGCTCCTTTCCCATACCCCGCCCTCCCATGCAGAGGAAATGCAACCTAATTTCTTTCCTGTGTTACAAAAATGTCCTCATAGGAAGGTGTAGTGACAACAGTTCTGAACCTGTGAAGACCCAGTAGAAACTACTAATGAAGTATCGAGGTTGAAAACTACCCACAAGAGAAATCGAGCAAAAGGAGTCACTGCCCGTTGACCTCCAGCTAGTTGTAGCGTATCATTAGAAAGTCAAACCCCGGGGAACCCCCTTCCTGGGGTTCCAGGGTCGCTGTTGGAGGAAAGTTATCACCTCATTATTTCTTCATCTTCCTTCTCTTCTCTCCAAATGAACAGTAAGAAATCGTACAGAGAGAGAGAGAGAGAGAGAGAGGAAAAGTCACAAAATAGAAAGTTGTTCATACACTTTTAGTGCACCACTTTTCTTCCTCCTCCTCCTCCTCCTCCTCCTCCTCCTTCTTTGGGCAGGGGCTGGTGTTGATGCACCTCAGGCTGGCCTTGAACTCCCTATGTAGCTGAGAATGACCTTGAACTCATGGTCTCCCTCCCTCCACTTTCCAAGTGCTGGGATTATGAATATGGATCACTATTTTTTTTTCCCCACCCACACATCCATACTCAAATAGCCCCGCAGATGGCCAGGGCCCCACCACAATGGTTGTGCTAACGTAGATCTCCTAAACTGCTGACAGGTATGAGAACGAGCTGGCCCTGCGCCAGACCGTGGAGGCCGACATCAGCAGGCTGCGCCAGGTGCTGGATGAGCTGACCCTGGCCAGAGCCGACCTGGAGGCCCAGACCGAGAACCTGACTGAGGAGCTGGCCTACATGAAGAAGAACCATGAGGAGGTCAGAGATAGCTTTGTTTTCCTCCCAGACTCAAAGGTTGCAATTTTGAATTAACAAAGCTGGGGAATCATTATCTCCGTATTAAAATAACGATTAGTTTTGGTGTTCTTGTCTATTTTGATCCCAACCCCCACCCCACCCTCTCTCCCCTCTGTGTGTGGGGGTGTGTGTGTGTTATGAATCTTTTTGTTAAGCTTTAATGGATACAGTGTTAGACTCAGGCTTAATTTCATTATTAAGTAATGGCAGGAATTTTAATTGTCTTCATTAAATATTTCTTTTAAATGTGAAGTATTTAAAAAAATAAAACAAAAGTCTGCAGATAGTGTGTAGGCCACATATGTTAGAGAAATGTACTTAGTATAAGACATATGGAAATCTGATGTATCAAAGGCTTGGGGTCTAGAAAGGGAGAAAGGGCACTGGCAATGGGCTTCCGAGGGAGTCTCTGCTAGATTCTCAATGACTATGGTGTGAAATAGTATATGGGCCCAGGTACCACTTGTGGCCCTGGCTTTGCAGCAGTCGCTGGTGTAATGAGCACACAGCTCTCTTTCCTTTTTGTAAATTGTAAGAAGTGGATGTTCTAGAAGCAGAAAGAACAACCACAGGCACAGAGCATGAAGCCCTTGGTCATTCAAGAAAGCTGAGAAAATATCTTGAGTTTTATTTTTGCTTTTTCCTAATCAGGAGAAAAACAGGTCTTCGAGCTAAAAATGTGTTGATGTCTTGCACTAATATTTTGCCCTTATATCAACTCAGTCAAAATTATAATTTCAAGCCAGGCACAGTGGCTCATGCCTGTAATCCCAGCACTCGGGTAGGCAGAGACGGGAGGATCTCTGTAAGTTTGAGGCCAGCCAAAAAGGCAAAAGTACCTGGGAACCCCACTAGTCATGTGAACTCCTCTATCTGTCTCTCTCCATTGCTGTCCCTAGGAACTCAAAAGTTTCCAGGCAGGTGGTCCAGGTGAGGTCAAGGTAGAAATGGACGCTGCCCCTGGAGTGGACCTCACCAAGATCCTCAATGAAATGAGAGCCCAGTATGAAGCCTTGGCTGACCAAAACCGCAAAGACGCAGAGGCCTGGTTCCTTGAAAAGGTAACGCCAAGGCAGAGATTTGACGCCTTCCCAGAAAGCCCTTTGAGCCAGCACAGGGCTCACCCCACCACCCACTTGGCTATTGCAGAGCGGAGAGCTCAGGAAAGAGATCAGCAGCAACACAGAGCTGCTTCAGTCCAGCAAGAGCGAGATCACCGACCTGAAGCGCTTGCTGCAGAACCTGGAGATTGAGCTCCAGTCCCAGCTTGCCATGGTAGGGTAACAAACGTGCACTGAGAGATGAGGCACCCTTCACCCTTCCCAAGGAAACGGTGTACCCACTGTAGACTAGACCATGGGCTGCCCTCTTGTTTCCAGATCCCCACGCTGCTCTTGTCTCCCGTTTGCAGAAGGCGTCCCTGGAGGCGTCGCTGGCTGAAACGGAGGGCGGTTACTGCTGCCAGCTGTCTCAGGTACAGCAGCTTATAGGCGGCCTGGAGGAGCAAATCCAGCAGGTGCGGGCTGATGCGGAGTGCCAGAACGCCGACCACCAACGCCTGCTGGGAGTCAAGGCCCGCCTGGAGATGGAGATTGAGACCTACCGCCAACTGCTGGACGGGCTTGGCCAAGGGTGAGCAGACAATATGGGTCGGACCCGTCGAAGGGGCTGATAGACAGTGGACATCTGACACAGACTGCTTTTCCTGCGATGGAAGGAGAGGGCTGTTGTGGATTAAACAAGGAACAAATCTTGTCAGTAATCCCAGCGCTCAGGAGGCTGAGATAGCAGGAGCCCAAGTTCCAGACCGACCTGGGCTACACCTACATAGTAAGATTGTCTTCAGGAAAAAGGGGCAGGCTAGGAAGTAGCTCAGAGGGTGAAGAGCTTGCGTGTGTAGGAACTGAGCCCAGAACCCCAAAACCTTAAAGCACGCCTCTAATTGCATCACTCCTACTGAATATGGAGGGGGAGACAGGAATGTCTCCAGAAGTTTGTGACTCAGTGTGTCTCAAACAAGCTGTAGTTCAGGACCAACAGAACATGCATACTCACACACACATGCACATCATACACACATATAAAAATTATTTGTAAAGAGGAGGGGAAAAGGATAAAACAACAAATCTAAAAGATGCATGCCCAGAATTTGTCAAATACTTTACGAAACATATTCAGCCATGATCTTACTTGAGACTAATTCGTAAAATGCTCATTGCGAATGAGCACTTACATTGTAAAACGAGTACTTCCGTGTTCTGTTTTATTAATGCTCATTGTAAATTCAGGCTTACATATTTTAGAAGAACCGCCTGATGACCTGATGCTAGGGATGACGCCTCAATGGTAGCCATCTGGACCACTTGTCCCATGGTAGTGAGCCTGTTGTAAACCATAACAGCCTGATCTGGAGGGGAGGAACTCCAGATTGTAAATTCAGGAAGCTGGTTTCTGAGAGCAAGTTGCCCCTCCCCAGAGTCCAGGCAGTTCGGAAACAAATGTGTGTTGACCCAATTGTGTACCCTCTCAGTGCGTCATTCAGCCAAGAAGCCTGTAGCGGTGTCTCCATTGTTTGCTGTGGTTTCATAGACATCCCTAATGTTTAAACTCGAGCTACAGCTTCTCCTTACTCAGCCAGCAGTCACGTGAGCACAGCCTTCTGTTTTCTTTACAGCGATGGTTTTGATGAAAGCTTATCGCCCGGTGTCTTCAAATCTCAGACACCATCGGTTGATTCCTCTAAAGGTATGGACATGAGAATCGTTAAAGTGAGTCAGAATCTCATTTGTTAATGACTGAAATGGTAAGAGCTTGCTGAATGTTGAGCACAAGTGACTTAAAATATCTTGGTGTTCTGAGCAGGGGAGACATCAGCACATCTCCTGAAGCACACAGAGCACTAGGCAGTGTAGTCCTCAGCAAGCTCAAGGAAGGGGAAGCCTTCTCTACGAAGGCATGATGAGCAGCATGAGACAGGGTCTCTCTGTGTAGCCCTGGCTGTCCTGGAACCTGCTCGGTAGACCAGGTTGGCCTCAAACTCACAGAGATCCGCTTGCCTCTGCCTCTCTGAGTGCTGGGATCAAAGGTGTGCACCATCATGCCTGCTTCTTAAATGCTTTAAAGTGCACCAGGCCTGGTTGTGCTTGCCTACCATCCCATCTCTTGGAAAGAAAAAAAAAAGAGAGAGAGAGGATCGTGAGTTCCAGGCCATCCTTGGCTACTTAGCAAGACCCTGAGGAATGGATAGATAGAGGGAGACACTGAATATTTTGATTTGTGCACAAGACAGAACTGATTCTCATTTCCCCTAAATAAAATTCGTTTGGTTTGGAATGGAAGTGACTTCTGAAAGTCTAAATTTGTGATGAAAAGCTTAGGTTGAATAAGAATAAACTTTGGATTGATAATTGGTTGGTAATAATCATTACCCCCTTTTTTTCTGCTTTTTACCTTTAGACCCAAATAAAACTCGAAAAATCAAGACAATTGTGCAGGAAATAGTGGATGGCAAAGTGCTCTCTTCCCAAGTTCAGGAACTTGAAGAGGCAGTTTAAGGCCTCACACTGGCGCCTTCGGAATGCAGGGTTTACGACTAAGAGTTATTGCTTCCACATGCTACATTAATTCAGCATCTGTTCGGGCCGGTTTCCCCTTCTTTGGATTCTCTATTCATGTTGGGTGTTGTTAGCATTTCTGAAACAATATCCACTTACAAGTCCCTGTGGCTGTGTTGACCTTCATTGCAACCCCAAATCACCTTCTGGCCTGAAGAAGTCTTCCTGCTAAGTTTTCTCTTTTTTCTGGTTGCCTGGACCACTTGTTTAATCCCAGAGCTTTGATGGGATAGTACTGTTTTAACAGCAATAACCTTAATTAAAGATTAATGACAATAAAGTGAAGTACGTGCCTCCTTGATTTCAACAATAATGTCAAGGACATAGACACAAGACTTACGATACCAGAAGAGGGTAAAAACAAGGAACAAGACAGGAGCCTACCACAGAGGGCCTCCGAAAGACTCTACCCAGCAGGGTATTAAAGTAAATGCTGAGACTCATACCCAAATTTCTGGCAGAGTGCAGGGAATCTTATGAGTGAAGGGGGAGACAGAAGCACCACAAGGAGAGCAAAAAAAACCAAGCAATCTGGGCCCAGGGGTCTTTTCTGAGACTGATACTCCAACCAAGGACCATGCATGGAGATAACCTAGATGTAGCACAGATGTAGCCCATGGCAGCTCAGTCTCTAAGTGGGTTCCCTAGTAAGGGGAACAGGGGCTATCTTTGACATGAGCTCAGTGGCTGGCTCTTTGATCACCTCTCCCTGAGGGGGGCCAGCCTTACTTGGCCACAGAGGAAGACAATGCAGCCAGTCCTGATGAGACCTGATAGACTAGGGTCAGATAGAAGGGGAGGAGGACCTACCCTATCAGTGGACTGGGGGAGGGGCATAGGAGCAGAAGAGGGAGGGAGGGCAGGATTGGGAGGGTTGAGGGAGGGGGCTACACCTGAGATACAAAATGAATAAACTGTAACAAATAAAAATTTTTAAAAGATATTGATAATTAAGTACATAAGCATTTAGACAAAAAAAATTGAGGTTGAAGATTATGGAGATTAAGTTAAGGTTATTTAATGGGCTCTATGCCAGCCCATTGAAGTTGCTGAAATGTTCTATTTTCCACCATAGGAGAGAGCAATTGTTCTATTCATTTCTAGGGCCTTCTTTCATACCGTCAGTGAGTCCCTAGACACTTAATGAGTCCCCATAGAATGGAAGATAGGAGATTCAATGTTGAGTAAGACTTGGTCCTTTTTTTGAGGACCTAGAGGGAGACATCTACCAGACATGGTGACACCTTGGCAGAGGGCTCACAGAAGATCCAAGGATGCATGGAGGAAGAAGGGATGGAGTTATTTGAAGGCGACTAAATGTTTCATTCAGAAACCAATGGGTCAGGGGAGAGAGAAGGGAACACATGCATGTAACAAGATCCAAGGGTGGGGCCCTCTCTTGCATTGGTCTTTCTCCTCTCTGGCAGCAATACGGCCCAGGGTGGGGCTTTATGAGAGTGAGTCAGACCCACAAGCCAATGACAAGAGTCAGTTCTGAGTCGAGATAGAAGATAACCAAAGTCTAAAGCAGAGTAGATGCTGGTTGGATCAAGGTTGTCAAACCCAAAGCCCCAGGGAAGAAACCAAGGTTCAGTTGAGGGAGGAAGACTCGGGACTCCAAAGTCAGACTGGGTTCAAGTCCTAGCTCTGTCCCTTAACCCTGAGGGACTTCTCTCTGCACGCCTCTGTCGCCTACATGCGAGTTGCCACATTACTGTGCAGGTGCACACATCTGCAGCCTTTGGGCTTCTCCCTCTCTTTCTCTCTCCCCCTTGAGACCAGCTCGCTCAATGAACCGGAAGCTGAGTGGGCTGGCCATGGCATTCTCTGGCCCACAAGGCTGGGGTTATACGTCTGCCCTGATTTTTTAATGTGTGTGCTGCGGATCCTGATCCAACTGCTCATGCTTGCAGAGCACAGGCCCCTTTTGCCCACTTTTGTGAAGATTAAATGAGGCAGTCTACGTAAAACACCAGGAACCTAGACTGTGTTGCTCCTAGATAGTACCCAGTTGAAGAAGAAAAAGAAAAAAGAGGCAGCGACGTTTTCTTTCTTATCCTCTGTTGCAATGCTCAGGGTCTCAAACCCGGGACGTCAGTATGCTACTGAGCTATGCTTCTAGCCTCAAAGTGTGTGTGTGTGTGTGTGTGTGTGTGTGTGTGTGTGTGTGTGTGTATCCCATTATGGTCAACTATCTGGAACCCAACCTGGGTTAGATATCCTAGTGGGCAGAGGAGAGAGGAAAAAGCTGAGCCTGGAAACTTCTGAGAAAGACCCCCCCGCCCCGAGGGTTACTCCATTTTTAGCTGGTTTGCTTCAGTGCGCAGCTCTCTGAAGTCACTCCTCTTTAAGAGTTTAGTGGCTCTGAATCCTCTGTTCACCTCTCTCTGGCATGCACACCTCTCTCTGGGTTGAGGTGCCCTCTTTCAGCACCTGTCTTAGACGAACCTGACCTTTCAGACCTGCTTGAGGATGGTCTGTTCTCAAGCAAGGTCCCCAGCTCCCAGTAATAGATTATGCCACCACTGTGTTCACCTCAGATGCCTCTAAGTAGTTATTGCTTTAACCAACCAGTTTTCCTTATTAGCTACAGCTGACGATCTGAGTGCTAAGAGACTTAAGAATTTCAAAAGAGGTATGATCAAGTATAAAGCTAATGGTCATTTCTTCATTTCCCAGCCTTCCTTCCTCTTGGGACTGCCCCTCACCCCAACCCCACCCCCAACCCTACCCCGGCCCCTGCAATGTGGGTCCAAGATGCCATTCCCCCTGGAAGCCTCCTCTCAGGCTCTTCTCTATTAACTTTGAATGTTGGCTTCACCCTCCATGGTCCCTCTATACTCACTCCCTGGTTAATCTCCTCTGGTCCTGTGTTTTCAAATGTTGTCTGTACATCGGTTATTTCTTGGGGTGGCCTCTATAATGACCCCAATTATCCTCACCTCCTGGCACTCGTGTGTAAGGAAATAACAGAGCATGGCCTCCAAGACAAGCCTAACCCCTAATATTACCCAACCCAACCCTAACTCTCCCCTACGCTGAACCTAACCCTAACTTAAGCAGTACAAAGCTATCTCGGCAGGAGGAGGGAGGTGAAGATAGGCGAAGGCCATGGAAGTGAATTTGGTCAAAGTACATGATATATAGGGATCAAAATGCTGTTGAGCAATGCTTTGGTCTAGGGGACTGTCAGATACCTACAAGGGAAGGCAGCTGTCTAAAAATTACTGGTGATTTCAAAATTCTCCCACAGAGGTTCCCATGGCTGGGACCTCATAGCAGCTTCCAAATCACAGTCTTTTTTTCCCCATCATTTCTTTGGCATATTCTCCAGTACGCACTTCACAACGGAAGTCAAAAAATCTTACTGAAATCCACACTTTCACTGGCAAGAGATGCAGTTAGCACAGCATTTACCCTAGTCACTTGTACCATTGTGACGAGATACTTTCGACCAGGGGAAAAGAGTGTAAAACCCAGAACTTGATTCCTCACAGTTCTGCAGGCAGACTGGGTGTCTGCTCAGGGCCCACTTTCCGAGCAGATGGCAGGGGATGGAAGCCACTCCCTGGGACCTCTCTTCTATGATATACCGATCCCATCTGCAAGTGCTCTGCCCTTGAAACCGCCCAAATGCCCCGCCTCTCAATGCCACCACACTGGTGGTTAGGTTTTAATATATGTGTTTGGGAAGGACTCGGACTTTCAGGCCACAACAATGACCTCACGAGACTCCAGCTTCTACCATGAGATCACACTCCCTGGTTAAGCGTAGGTGGGAAAGGCCTGCTAGACTCTGTAAAACATGGATTGAGAAAATGTTCTCGGGGGAAGTAAAACTCTGGGAGGTTGGGCAGAATGACACATGACCCGGACAGAAGATGGACCTAAGCAATCAAAAGGCAAAAGGCAAACATATTGTTTACAATTTTGTTAAAGTCTAGAATTTTACAAATCTAGGTTCTTGCAGATGCAGTTATTTTGCATAAGCTAAAGAAGGGTCTGGAAAATTCGGTGTATGCTGAATGGTTACAGCAATCTCTTGGGACTAACAAGGGGTTTCAAGGGTATGCTCTAGTCTTCCTTTTGCATATGTTTTAAAAGTTTAACAGGTCCACGCATTGTTCTAATAATCGAGGACAGAGTGGATGTTAGCCGTTTAATGTATTTGGTGAAAGTTCAACAGGAGAGTGGAAACCACCTAGAAACACCGCCTTAGGCAGCAAAGCGAGGCTCCTTTTGGCTTGGTGAGAGCGCCACCTGCTGGAATGTCAGAAAGGGAACTTTGTTCAGGTCACTCGAGATTAGCATCTTAGGTTATTTCCCCTCTTAGAACGGAAGAAGAAAGGCAAGAGAGGGAAAGAGTGGCAAGAGGAGGAAGGAGAGGAGGTTCTTTTCATGGCAAACTTAGTAAGTTAAGACTGTCTTCTTTAGCTAGTAACCACTCCCCAGCAGGCCTACCAGACAGCTTTCCACGGTGTAAAAGGAAGTTAGAAATTAATGTTTAGAATGGCCAGAGAGGCCATCTGATCTTGTGCTCTTCAAAATACACTGACATATCCAATAAAATGAAGACGTATTCATAGAGCTGGGGAAATGGCCTCTTGTAGAGTAAACGTTTCTTAAATGTTAGACATGAGGGTAAGATTAAATTGTACTGAGATCAATAGCATACGGCTCGGTCGATAAAGTATTGGCCATGTAATCGCGAGGACCTGAGTCCAATTCCTAGAATTTCAGAGACTGAGACGTGTGGATCTGTGGGGCTCACTGGTCAGCGAGTCCTAAATTAACAGTGAGCCCCAGCCCAGAGACCCTGTTTCAAAAGCGCCTGAAGAACTACATATAAGGTTGACCCCTGGCCTCTACAGGCATACACACGTATGCTCATGCACCTGTATACATATGTGTAAGTTCACACACATACATAGAGAGAGAGA